ATCATGGCTGGGAGGCTGGAAAAGATAGATGGAAGAGAAACACTTACAGAGGAATACATTTTTGCACATTAGAGGCAATAGAGCGTGAGGCTGGTGGAAATGGTTTGAGTCAGAGAATACGCTTTTTAGATCCCAGCACCTACCTCACTTTTGTCTGTGCAATGAGACTATAAATGGCAGAGGTGTATGCAGGACTCAGGGTGGTTTGGAGGCTTATGAAAGAGTCTCCCACTTTTTCCACATTGCCACGTGAGGAAGAAGAGGCTTAAACCTGAACAGCTTTGGCACAAGGTGCTGAAGCTGAAGGCACAGCAGCAGAACTGTAGGTAGAGTGGTGAGGCTTTGCTCATGCACCATCACGGATGGGGCAGACATGGAGGCTGCCAGCACTACTGCTGACCCCAGGGGGAGATGGCTGTCTGGCAGCATCTGTCACTGTGACCTGAGACAGCGATTAAAGGTGTAACCTACAGAATTAGGTGTTGCATGCTCCTTACTGGTCTGTCTTGAGATGTGTTACACTGCCTAGAGCGTGACTGGTGTTTAGAGTTGCAAGAAGAAGAGAACAGTAAGAAAAAGGCATATATGCCAATTTGTAATAAGGGCTGAACTGCTCTGATCCATAATTCAGTAAAGAACAGCAGTAAATGTATAGACAAGTAACTGATTTCTAACATCTACATGCTACAACCTAAAACTAAATACAAATTTGAAGCGATGGTTTGCACTTAATTTCTTTGTAAGCAAACTGCAACTTTGTAAGCAACTTCTTAAAGGCCTTTTATATGACTGAATTTTATTTTAACTGTAATATATAAGGTAAGATTTAATGGCTGGCTTACAAGAACTAATAAGCATCTGAAGGAAGCTATCTTAAAATGTCAATATGAGCCTGGCTTAAAAGAAATGCCTTGTCTCTAGCCATCTGTTACATACTGGAGTTAAACAGACACACAAGTGCTTTTTCCTGGAAGCCATCTGCACAAATATTGATTGAGTAATTTCATAAAATTCCGATTTAGTAATTTACCAGTTGACGAGGTGATAGTGCACAGTGTAGGTCTGAGTTCCCTGGTATTTCTACTGCAGCTAAAACAACATTGATGTGCATTTCTTTTGCCACTAGCATTATTGCAAAAGGAGACACTGGAATCAAGTCCAACATAACCTATTGAGGGAGTCTGTAAAATACTTTCCTATTAACATCAGAATAAAAAATAATGTGGTATTCCAGAAAATTGAATGGCACTTACATTCCATAATCTTCATCAGATCAGCTTGCATGGGGTTTTGTTTTTCCTTCGCCTAGTTTGAGGCCGGTTTGTATTAATTCCATCCAGCTTTATTTTAATTAGCTTAAAAGTCTAGGGACTCTTGATTATCACGGTGTTTAAAAGGCTGGGTTTCAGCACCCGCCAGCAGTGGCTTTTTCATCCCCCAACTATTTAAGAGTTGCGAATTTCTCTTCATTTCAACTCCCTGCAGACACTGGCTCTGCCGTGGTGACTCATGCCTCTATGACCCCTGGCTGGCAGGCAGCTGCCTGCAGCAAACCGCCACTGGGCTTTCAGCTGGAGCAGCAAACCACTGCTGGAGAAACAGCCGCAGAGCATGCCCCCACCGCAATACGTCCTTCCACCACCTCTCCGCAGACCCCTGAGCCCTGTGGAACGGCTGCAGGCAGCGCCCTTGCCCTACCTCTTGCCATAGAAATGGATGAGCTATCCCACTGCAGATCCATGATATTTTCCAGTCTCATCCCTTAGTAACTTTCAGAAGTGCCACCTTTCTGAGGGGGCATTAAAGACAGTTTTCATTCCATCCTGTTGTCACTGATTCTTTCCTGATATCCACAAGACTTGACCAATTAGAAAATGGATCTAATCTAAGAGTATAGAATCATGGAATCATAGAAACATTTAGGTTGGAAACGACCTTTAAGATCATTGAGTCCAACTGTAAACCTAACACTGCCACCACTACACCATGTCCCTAAGAGTAGAAGGTAATTTCTCCGTGCTGGGATGGTGGGACCTGAGCAGCCCAGGGCACACGGGGCTCTGGTCTGTGATTACACAGGGTGTTTACAACCCAGGTAGAACCCTGCAAAACCTTCTTAGGCATCAGCACACTTAGGGCTCTTTGACTCAGACTGTAGGGTTAGGAGATAGATAGGGTTTGTTAGTCTCCCACCTCCAGTAGGCACCTCCACTCCTCCCAGAACAAAGGTAGAGGCTTAGCAAGGATTTGTTTCACATCATGGCTTTCCTGGTTTGAATGCTTGGGGTGTTACAGCTCTAAATACTGACAAAGAACATGTGAAACCTGGCAGGGGCAAAACTTCCAACCAGTATGACTGGCCCCCTGGATCTATCCTAAGTGCATGTGATCTTCTGTGCACATGGGAGCAGCCACCTGCGGCTTGTGAAACACTATTTCAGGTGATGTTCCTCCCTTTGGTCCAACATAGGTTGAATCCCATGGGTCACTTCATCACTCATTTGTAGACAGCCAGGATAAGAGCAGGGAGACTACACAATGGGACCAGTAACATCAGAAAGTTATGAAGTCCCAAGAAGGGAAGATGTAGGGTAGGTGTGACTACCTGTAAAAGCTTGCTACCGAGAGGAGTCGGAGAAACTTATCTCTGTATCCATTGCAATCAGACATGAAAGGATGGGCTGTCACTTCAGCAGTGGTGACTTAAGAAAAGCATTTTACCAGAAAGGGTAGTGAGTCATGCAATAAATTGCTCAACAGAAGCAATTTTTCAGCCCTCAGCATCAGGGGATTTATAGAAAAGTTAGATGATCCATTAGGTATAGGTAATCCTGCCTGGGATGGGAAAGGGCCTCCAGATGCCCTTCCCAGCTCTCCACCCAGTGGACACATGGTGCTGTATGTAATCCCATTGCATTTGGGCCTGCCACCCTTCTTGCACAGGAATGGAAATGTCCATCTGTCCTGGGTTCCGCAGTAGCAGTCATGTTTTTCCTTCTATCGCCGTTAATGTAGCTGAAAACATATTAAATGAATGCATATGAACATATATGTAGCATATATTTCACAGGTTGGTTATAAAACAGTCTTCCAACTTAGAGCTCCCAAACTGTTCACAAAGAGAACCTCTTAAAAGTATGAAGAGAAAAGAAAACTCACTCACACATGCTATGGCTCATGCTATCGGCTAGAATAGCACTGCTTTTTTAGGTTTTAAGGAATAAGGTTCATTACGCTTATGTCACACCATGACTTTGTTTAATAGGAAATAAAATGATGTGAGGAACAAAATGGGGGAAAAAAAAAAAAACAAACCTCAAAATAAAATACCCAAAGGATCAATTCAAGTGAAGACTTTGGCAGACATTGTCATTTTATGAATTATTCCAGTGCTGTGCTCATAGCTAAATCTTAGTTGACAGGAAGAAACCCGATCTGTTTTTTATACAAACACCAGAGGAAACTGGAATCTGACCTTGTCTCAGCCCTCTTTCACCATTTGCCTCCTTTGGGAATCTGGGATCAGCCCAGTGTTATCTGTCGAACAATGCTCCTGTGTCGGCTCCCTGGCCCAAGCATCTGAGTGGCACTCCTTTGGGTAGCAGAGAATAGGGAGCTTATTTTGAGGAGATATGAGCTGTTCTGAAGACAAACAACCTCCTAAATTAAATTAACCACTAGCCTAGAAATAGAACTGCACAGTCCTCAGCCGAAATGCAGCACTGGAGCCATTCATTCCCCACGAAGATCTCCTCCATGCTGCAGGGCATTTTCTTGGGATGAACCTGGAATTCCAGTGGTTCATCAGCAGAACTGGGAAGAGGAGCTTTAAGGAGGAAATATGAACTCATGGGGGTCCTGAGGAGCACACGAGGATGCAATGGCGAAGGGATGAGGTATCAGGATGAAGCTCAAGGTGGATTGGAGGTTCACCCACCTGGAGGGCTGTCAGGGAGCCATGCGAGGGCTGCATTGCTTTTCTAATTAACCACAATATGAAGCAAAACCCTGGCTGCCAGCAAAGCCTTCTAGGTCCTGCTTATCCCAGGAGCCCTATGCAAAGGCCAAATGTAGCTTTTCCAGACTTTCAGAGAACTGCTATGGCCAGAGTCCTATTTCCACTTCTAATAACTACATTATACAGCCCTTCAGGAGAAATATTTTCATCTCTCAGTCTTGGTGTTGCTCTAAATTTGTATTACTGACAACTCTATTCATATATATTGAAAAACAAAATTATAAGCATCTAAGGTTCAACAAGCCATGAGAAGGCAAATACTTCAGTACATTGCTTGACTGTAAAATCATTTAGGTTGGAAAAGACCCTTAAGATCATCAAGTTATGAATTGTTTCACATAAAGCATTTTCAGTAAAATATTTATAAGTGAAAAATCACAACTTTTGTTTTTTGGGCTTAATAGGTGGAGTGAATTGTTCCATTTACCTACCTTTGTAGGTTTCTTCAGGAACTCTCTGTGGATAGTCACGTTAAGATAGCTTTTTCTTTAGCTGAAATTACAAGAGAAAAAAATACAAATACCTGTATCATCATCTTAAAAATTAATAAATGAGAAACCCAGCCCATTTCACAGCAATAATCTTAGTATGTGATACGAGGCACACTGCCATTACACCTGACTGGTTAAACGTTAGCAGCCACTTCTGACTGACTTCGCTGTTCAAGAGCAAGGAGCTCAAGGTGCAAGGCCCCCAGGGGAGGAAAGGTGACTCCAGCAGCCAAAGTACCCTGTGCTTTCCAGCAACTCAGGGTAATCCTGATTTTATGAGAAATGGTCCTCAGGAAGTAGATGTCAGTTGGATTCAAAACTCATGGCATTTTGCTCGCGGCTTGTCCTATGTAACCTGTGGAAACTTCCAAGTTTCCGCATGTTCAGCAGTGCAGCTTTGGTCCCCAGCAGATGTTTTCAGCCCTCAAAGGATGTGCAATAGTAAACCATGGCAAATGCTGCCCCGAACAGTGATTTTCCCATTCTTTCAGTTTCCTTCACTGCTCTCTCTCCCGCAGGGGAAAGCCTCTGAGGAGAAGAGCACTGACTTACGAAAACCTTTTGGGCAAGGCCCAGGAAGTTCTATTCCCACTTGTATTAATGAAGTTATCAGTGGTCCCTCTGCCTCACGGACTCCTTCAGACACCTGGGATTTTACTGTGCATGGAGGAAAGCCCACAACAGCCACCTATGTTTACAGTGCCCCTCCAGCAAACCTCACCTGGAACCCTGGGAGAAATGTCTGTGGTGGAGTGTGATACCTGTCCCTTTGATCCAGTACATGTTTGCCACAGAGCAATCCACCTCTGATCAGATTTTTTTACATGCAAGGGCCACTGAATCCACAAAGCAGTAGCTAAAGGCAATGCTCTAATAACTATCATAGCTGTCTTTTAACAGGGCTTAGGTCACCAGGGAACGTGGACTAATTTGCTGTAATTCATTTAATATGTTTAGTCTGAGCAACATAATTTCAGCCCAATAGATGTCTAAGAAATCACTCATCAGTGTTAACTGGGAAAGGGTTATGGCAGTGCCTGATGTGTCCCCAACCCGGGGGTGCAGGGCTCTCCTGGCTTGCCCCAGGCAGGGCACGGCCTCCTTTGGGGCAGCTCCAGGGTGCTGCCCCCTGGCCTTGCTGATCTCAGAAATGCAGCCTTCACTGCCTTGTCTCTTTTTTTTTAATTATTTAGTATTTTTATTGTATTTATTTTTATAGACATTATATTTTTAATGTTTTTTTTTTTGTTTGGGAGATTTTTTGTTTTGTTTGTTTTTTTAATTAACAACTGGAACAATAAATAAGTCAGCAAATTCTGCACAAATAGGTCAGATCAGTTCAGGTCTTGAAAACCCTGTACAAGGTTCACCTGAGTCATTGCACGACCCTTATATGACCACCTCATGAGCCACACACCTATTTGCACATGAGGACTTGCTGCTTCTCACCTCCCTCTGAATGCTTCAAATATGAATGCTTCTGAATCCCTCTGAATGCTTCAAATGTGGTTGTTGCTGCTTCTGGGTAACCAGAAAGGTTTGGACCCCAGGAGTGGGGAATTTCCTTCTGCAAAGACAGATGAGTTAAGTCAGATACAAGGTACTATATCCCTGTCTAATTTATTTTGAAGTATGTACATTCCTGAACAAGGATATTAGATGGCAAAAGCAATACGAGCCTAATAGCTCACAGATGATGCACACACACACACACTTTGCAAACTCCAGCAGACAGCTGTAGCCCAGTCCCCAGCTTATGCCCCTCACTCTTTGCTTTCCTCAGACGTTGCTCCAAGTGTGTAAAAATGCTAAATCTTACAGCCACTCCCTTCTCCCCTTAGCCTTGGCAACTTTGCAACGTGAAATGAAATCCATCTGAAGTATCAGCAAAGCTTTTCTGTTTTTGTTGAGGGCTCCTTTAATTCTAAGGCTTAGATGCCTGTTGACAGCAGATGCTCAAGTTAGAAGTCATCAATTGTCTTTATCAGTTAAATGAACTTACTGCTGGGTGGGATCAAAAATAGCCTATTATTATTATTTTCACATCTCTCACTTTCATTACAGCATATAAAGCCAGACCCTATTTTTTGTGTCTCAGACACGCAAATTGTCAGCAATGATGTTATGGGGGCCTGATCCCAGAGTTTTGCCTGCACAGGGTTTACAGAATGAGGGTGATTTTGAAACATTTCTACTGCCTAAAAATGCTACTTGAAACCTGATTTCGCATGTGTTTATATCAGTTTGACATGGGCTTACCTCCACTGAACTCAGTGATGTCCTTTCATTAATTTCAGCCTTTCTGGGAGAGATCTGCTCAGTTCATTAGGTCTGCAGGCACATATGTAAATCTGACAGTCAGCATATAAGTGTACCAAAGCTCTTTTTTTTCCCTGTTTTTCCATCCACAATTGTATTCAGAAAGTCTACAAGCAATCACTACATTGTTCAAACGTATAGCAGCAATGGCTAACTTGCTTGCAGATGCCTCCTAATATCTAACTGAGCACTACAGCTGCCTATTTTAGAGCAGGTTCCTAGGACATCCACTCAGCAGAGAGAAACCCCACCTTCCCATCCTCCAGAAGACCCAGCAATTTCCCACAACTCCCCAAAACAGAGAGGGAGCATAGACAAACCTTGTCCTGACTCTACTACTCCTGCGAGACCAGCACTGCTAACACAGAAACAGACAAGCCTCCTTCCCTCCCAACATGCTGGCACTAAGAATCACTTCAATTACAACTTTTTTTGACATACATCTCTTATTCTAGATCCACAAAAGTAATAATATGTCAAAAAAATATCTCAAATCCCAGTGACACCAATCAGGCTGATAGAAGAAAGCATTTGAAAAAGCCCAAACACACCAACACCGAAAGTCATGATGCTATACAACGAAAACTGTAAAATACTGCCTCCAGACAACAGTACTTAGTTTTTAAGAAAACAGCTGTGCCATGTCAGGTGCTGATTCTATCCTCTGCATCAGAGCAGGTTTCTCTGCCTTGACCGAACTTCTCTCCAGGTCTGAGCAGTAAATGGAATTAAGGAAGGTGACCTCTAAGCAAGTGGAAATTTTGCTTGAGAGAACTGCAAGATTTCGGCCAAAGCTTCCATGGCCATTAGCAAATTGCTGGGAAACTGTGCTGTAGGTGTGTAGGAATTAAAAAGCATTTGGGGTTTCTTACATACTGATGGACCCTGAACATACTACACAAACCCTGTTAAACCCTTCAGCAATGCCTATAAGAGGCCCAACCCTTTCTCTCACTTTCAGCAGCCCTTTTCATCTTTGGCTTTGAGTCTTAAAAAACATCCCCAGTCCTGGCACCCCTTGCTGCCAACAGAACTCCAAGGGAAGATCATCAAGGGAGATCCAAACTTCAGACATAAGTATGCACCTTTGTTCTGATTCATCATGTATCCTCATGTTCTTCCACAGAGTACCTTGTGAAAGGACACCTGGAGTGTTTTCAGAGCAGACATTTCAAAACTTGGAAAAAGTGGACTTTATGCTAAGTGTTGAACAGTCGGAGGTGGAAAAGGTCTGTGCTGCAGCATTTTGTAGTAGCCATTTTCATTCTGCGTCTGGATATAATTACTTTTATGGAAAGAATATACATGGTTCACATGCTTTCAGCATCTTTGTAAGCTTTGTTCATAGTCTATAAACAAATACAAATCTCCCAACTGGGCTCCGTACATTTTTCTGGCAAAAATCAGAGATCAATATTCCAATTACCTTCCTCTTTTCAACCAAAAGTATGTTTTGAAAAGATGAGATTCACCATCCTCAGTGAGCATAAAAGTAAGCTCTTAAAAAGATAACTGCTGCTCTTAAAAAAGTAGTATTTCTTAAAAATATGCAGGAAATATTGTCCTGTGTTATTTCTTTTGATTTGGTATTCAATCTAGACACAAGCTGTGTTTGTCAATTAATACAGAGACTATAGGCTGAATAACACAGATCTGATTGCACAAGTCTAAGAAGGATGCTCCAGCGTGGAAGGGGCAAATAAATGTGGGCTCGCAGGTAGAGTTTTTTGGGTCAAAGCTTAAAGCAGCTGTGCCTGGAAATTTGATCAAGAAAAAGGGGTATCATCACCAACCTTGAAATGCAATAGCAAGAATTTGACATCCTTCTGCAGTTCATTTTTCATAAAATTCCTCATTTCGCAAGTACCTGGCAGGCTGAAGAGAAACATGGGGATTCTAACCATGGTTTCCACTCATTTATTACGTGTCTTTGCTCAGGTGATGTCTAGAGCTGGATCATTTCTTATGTCCTCAAGAATGCATGGATCTTACTTGTTGCCAGTAATAATAAGTGGATGGTTTTAGTAGCTCATAAAAATAAGGTCAGGCCTGGAGAGGAATGGTGAAGCAGACTGACAAATCTTCTGAATAACAAAATGAACATCAGCTCAAGTACCAGGGAAGTGGCTGTTTCAGATGATAAAAACACTGACTTTGTCTTTTATTGACGGTGACATACATCCAAAATGTTTCCCTGAGGAGAAAAAAAAAAAAAAAAAAAGAAAGAAAAGAAATTTTAGGCGGAATATTGGGAAAAAACTTCCTGACAGTGAGGTCTACTATTCAGACGCATGTCTACCCCAGTGAAATGGCAGAGGGAAGCCTAATTGATTGAACCACTTAAAACTGGGTTGGAAAAAACATGGGAAAATACACTGTGAATGAAGGACTACCTTCCACTGGCAGATCTCTGATTTCTGTCATTCTTCAAAAAGTCACCGCCAGTGTCATTTTGGGAGGGATGGGAGTTCAGGTGCCAAGGCTTCAAAACGCCAGATTAGTCGCATCTGAAAGTGGCCAGAAAGCACACAGGACATGTTTGGTACAAGTGGACTCATCCTGTTGTGATCATGGAAGTCTCTCTCAACTGAGACCAGCCCTTACACCTGGGAATTTGGCTAAGAGGCAGCATGCAGCATTCATCAACGCCAACATGCACCACTTACCTCCACCTCACCCAGGTGGGTACCATGTACATGGCATGACAGCACAAAGTTCAGAGCCTCGTGATCAGAGTTGTTTGAAGATTGGGATGGCTTTTTCTTCTTTTGAAATCCAGGGGGTTTGGCTAAGCTTTGATTTGCTTAAAGGCTTTTAAGTCTATTTGGACCTGAAGGACTTGTACAAGTCTTCACCTAATGCATCAGATGAGGGCACCTTTCCTGAATCGGTAATTAAAACCTAATGCAGACTGGAGAACCCTCTATTGAAAATGAACTGCTACAGCTGCCCTGAGCCTTTGACAGTCCTGTGTCGCCAGAGGGAGGAAGATTCTTGGCTAGCAAAAGGACAAGCTGCCCAGGAACACTGGAAACACTGGGAAAGAGCAGACTACAAAGGGAAAGAGCAAAGGCTACAAAGGTAATGTGCTCCCTGATGGAAAATTTGGGATTGGGTGGAGATGCTTAGACTAGGAAGAAAGCATGGGGCAGCTGTGGGTACTGCCATAGCTGACCTACACAAGCCTGATAGAACAGGAGATGGTTACTGATGAGGAAAGCAATAGAGGAAGGGAAAAAAACACACTGAACAAGTCCAGAAACCCTACTGTTCATTTAAAAGAAAGTATTTAAAAACTATGACACCCAATCACATTATTGATTTTACAGACAAGCTCTATAGCTCATGCAAACCTGGTCCTAGCTGTTCCCCTGCGGAATAAAAATAGGGAATGAGAAAGACAGACACAATTTATTCTGAAGGTTTCAATCAGTTTGGGGACTCAGCTAGTTTCCAGTCAGGTAGTTAGTTCTCTGCACTATTGCTGTGACCCATCACTGTCACCCCAAATAACGGCACCTTTAGACTGCAGAAAGAGCCTTGGGGTTTTCACTGGTGAAAATGAAGGAAGCACAAAAATATTTTCAATCAGTACTGGAACAAACTTCACATTGCACAGCTGCAGTGTAAGTGCTGTCCCCCAGAGACCCTCTAGAATTTGATTAAGGTATACGGAAACTTGACTCATATTTTATGAACATTCATTTTCAGGATACATTTTTAAAGGGACAGCATATATTTCCATCATGTGGAGGAAATGAAGGCTGTTATTTTGACAGGAATAATGTGCTTCTAGCATGCATCAGTTTTTGACGGCAGCTGAAGAAGCAGCACAGGAGCTGTGGTGTTAGCTTCTGTGGGGACTCTCTGGTGGGAGAAGCACCATGAAACATAGTAGAAATTACAGTGATTTCAATTTCTGTTTTTAAAAAGAAGAATAATTTGCAGGAGCAGAAGAGCTTTAAAGAGGGAGGACATGGTTTCCCAAGTCACTGTGGGATGTGGCTCCCAGGCTGGTGGGCAGATCCTGCACCCCCTAGCAAAAGCCCATCTGAAAAGCTGTGATGTACTCTGGGACAGAAAATCACATGCAAGAGGGATGTAGTCCCACCTGATTGCCCACAAAAAGCCTATGGGCTGACAGCTCACCAGCATGGGGGGCAATAAACTGATAAATGCGCAAACACATAAAAGCACATTGGGCTAACTAATGCAATGGCAGGAAATGCTCAGCAGAGCACGTGCTTCTTCAGGCCATACTGCTGTTTGTGAGAACCACCAGTATGTGCTGCACTGGCCCCACAAAGCAGGGAACATGCAAAAACTGCCTTCCTGTAGACCCTAATGTTTCTGCAGGCTATAACTGCAAACTTGCAGGATGATACAGCAACAACAGGCTCTGCCCTGCTCCATACCTGAGCCCCAGGGAAGTCAGGGGAGCTATCAGAGATTTACACCCCTGGTGAATAAACCCCATTGTCTGCAGAAAGATGGTTATTCTCTAAAAGACATGCTTTGCTAAAACATCATTATCGCAGCAGGAACTTTCTCCATCTGTTTTTATGTAAATAATTTCAAAGTGTATGATTTATGTAATGGATTTTGTTTGAATTAGTTTACACCAGTGAAAGAAGGATAAAGATTTTCTTTTATATTACACAGCTGGTTTTACTTCTTCTTAGCATCCAATACTTTTATTATTTATATACAAATTCCTTTACTGCAAGAGATTTATTACTTATAGTAATCTTGCATGGTGTGAATTTCTTATAGCTCATTCATTTGGTCTTTCATGTGACTAGGCTGGAGATAGAATGAAAATGAGGACATCTAAATCTGGTAAAAGTTATGTTTTTTTTTTTTGTCAGGAGTCATGCCTGCTGTCTCTTTCACAGTATCCCAGCATCTTATGTGCATCACTCAAAGAATTAAATAACTAGCTAGCTCAAACAGAGCAGCAGAACTGAATGATTTCATACATCAAAATCTCTCAGAGATGTTGAAAATTGTGAGGTTTAAGAGGCGAAGACTGTTGTTATTGCACAGCCAGACCCCTAAACCAACAGGTGCTAACACAAATAACAACTGCAGGAGCTGGTTTGGAAAATGCACTGATGCTGAACACAAAGCTGCATGGGTCTAACTGAGAAATTGTTTTGAGTACAGCAAAGTTTTGTTAGGCAGCAGAAACAACAGCAAATTTGGCTTGATTTCCTGGGTCATTTGGGTCCAGAAGATAGGAGGATGGCAATTAAGTGTGCAATTATAATTTCGTGAATTTTGTCAATTTCAGAATGAAGCATTTAGGTGTTTCTATTTTGAAGCAACATTACCTTTAGAACTGTTATTTGATTTAGAGAGCTCAACAACATTTTTGCTTCGTCTTCATTGGCAAGTGCTCCAGCCACACCGCCCATGTCACAGAAGGCAAAGGCAGGGACTGGAAGGATGGAGAACTGCCCACTGTAGGAGAAGATCAGGTTTGAGGCCAAGGATCTGAAGGTGCACAAGGCCATGGGAGCTGACAGAAGTCATACAAGTTTAACTTGCACCTAATGATGCTTCTAAATTATTGCCCCTCCATCTATAGGGATACCCCCACAAGATTTTATTGCCTGACTGAAGAGTCTATTTGGTATATATCAAAATAATAGCATTTGTAAATGAAGTGTGTGAGGGCAAAGGGGAAAATGTTAAACAAGCATTGCAGAGCTACAGCAGCAGGGCAGCACCATTTAAGGTGCTTTAGAGATTAAAGAGAGTAAGCAATTTCTAGGTATCACCTGCACTGATCTCTTTACAAATAAGCAAGAGTAGTGAGACAAACAGCTAGAGGGAAGGTGGCATGACATAGAAAACTGATTTCATTTCAGTCCCAGATCTGGCTGTGCAGAGGATGGATTAAACAGCAGGGAAGAGTGAGGCTGAGGATGACAAACTGGAGCTCTCTTGCATAAAGATGAAGTCCACGGAGTATCTCTGCTGGCATTTCACATGTAATGGCAAGGAGGGAATCCTCAACTCAGTCCTTGGAAGCCTCTAGACTTTTTGCTGTGTATAACCTCATTGCAGGCCAAGATAAAAACCTGTCTCCAAAAGCCCTGTTCCTGCAGTGGTCTGGGGAATAACATATGTCAGCTTCATCCGATTCCACCCCTACATATGGAGCACAGGGTCACTGAGCGCCATAAGGTGTGCAGCTCCTCATTTCAGTCTCGGATTTTAAGTGAATGGATTAAACACTATTAATACAGTCCAGACAGAGTAAAAAGTACAGAGAAGAGCAAAATACAAGCAATAGCAGAGATAAAGAAGAGATGTAGGAATTGTTTCTGGGCAGTGTCTGTTACCTTTGTCTGCTAAAAAGCCTTGTCAGCTATATTGGTTTATTATATAGACACACTGTATGTACCTTCTGTTTTTAATGCTTTTTTTCAAAAAACATGAGTAGGCAATTATTGATATATTTTATCCCGATTAAAAAAATAGGATTGCACTTTTTTTTTTTTTTTTTTAGGTGGGAGATGGAGTCAAGCTTCCAGTTTCTTTTTGTTTCCTGTACTAGCAACCCTTAAAAATTGACTACTTTGACTCTAAAGCAGCCACTGGGGATCAGTGTATAAGTGCATAGATGGATTTGCCTAAAGAGTTACTGCGCTATTGCAAGAAGGCTAGCATCAAGTTATGTTGGATATAAAACTAGGGAAGTAAGATGACTTTATTAACTTATGGTATATGTTTCATTATTGTACAACTCCCCTGCTTGTGGGGAAGATTTTTAATCTCAGCTTCTATCAGCTGCTGCAGCATAAAGGTGGAAGAAAAGATACACAGGACTTCCTGAGGTCTCCTTTGAGTTATAAATAAATCAGAGAATGTCTGGCTTTTAAGAATTAATTTCATTCCTTGTCTGTCCTCAGTATGACCACAAGAAATTGTGTTTTCCTCAAACTGTTGTTTTATCCATCGCATTTGTAACAGTCCTTATAAGTCTGCTTCTATTCTACATACCAGTCATTGACCATCGTCTACACGTATTTGATAGCTGGTACCCAAAATTCAGTCAGTCCTCATCAGTTGACTCCATCCTCTAAATCATGCGGTGTAGAGAGCTTCAAGCTCTAAACTAGAGGGCCTAACAAGCAAGGTGCTCCTCAGAACAAGACAACTTCCAGTACTAACGTTTGCAAACCTGAGAGGCAGCATGGGCTGGAGCACCATCTGCTGGCATCCTCTCTGCTGACTGCTTGCATCCAGGCGCCGCATGTTTCTGTTGCTTCCACACCCCTCCGGGCACTACAGCTTATTCCCACTAAGAGACACGGTGGTCAGAGATCCTCGCTCCCACTTCCCCTGCGGGGCACTGGCCATTGCAGCTGCAGAAAGGGGAAGGAGCGTCAGCTTCCTCTTCTGCCTAAGGTTGGCAGGAGCCCAGGGGTCTGCAAGACCAGGGGTCCAGCCTTGCCACCATGCTTCCCAGCTGTGCATCCATTGGGCATGCCTGGGGTGCACAGCTGGTGCAGATACACACCTGAGGCACCTCTCACCTGATAGCCCCATAGGGCTGCACACCCCCCAGATCCCCAAGACCATGACCCAAGCATGAGGAATCTCACGGCCACTGCTGGATCTTGCTTCTGCTGGAGGCGAGCATCTCAGCGAAAACAGTCACTTGTTTCAGTGTGATCGCTTTCCCAAACACAGCATTTTTTGCTTTCTGGGTACCACTGACTTTGCCTGAGGCCATCCCTAAACAGAAGGGAACAGATTTTTGCAAGGTTGATTGGCTGCCAAGAAAATTAAATATGTTTATTTTTTTCTCAGCAAGTTACCGTAAGTATTCTCCCTGTAAAGCATCCTTTCACTGCTTGTCTTCTTAGCTGTCAGAGGATATTCACATATGTTCCCTTTCCCCACGAGCTGCTGCAAGCTCAATTCGTGTATGGCTTTCTTGCCACAGGCATTCCACAGAGGACAGAAGGGCCAAGGCAGCTGTGGAGAAATCCTGGCTCACATGGAGCATCTACAGGCTCCAAAAGCAACTTTTTGCGTGGCCACATTTTATATTTAATAGTCACCAGATCAAATACACAAATACTGGAGAGAGTGCAGAGGAGAGATTAGCAAGAATGATCTCAAAAATGTGACCTCTGAGTAAAGGCCAAACAAACTGAGACTGCTCAGGATACCCTTGAGATGCAAAGACCAAGAAAGGGGAAAGTAACTATCCCATCGTGCTGCAAGGAGAAGCAACACGTTGTTCTCCGCGTCCTTGGGAATAGACCAAGGTGTAGAGGACTCAGCTTAACATCAAAAAGGTTCCAATCAGGCATTTTGGAGACTTTCCAATAGGACAGGTAGCACAGCACAGTTGTGCATAGAATCTCTACAGCCAGGACCAAGTAAGGCTTTTCTCAAGAATGAGGAAGGTATAGCTGACCTTGTTCCAGTGTGCAGGGATGGATCTTGAAATCTTTTTCCAGCTGTATAAGTTTTAGTGTCCTAAGAGCAAACTCATGCATCCCTGCCACAGTCTTCCCTGGAGGAAACACTTCTGTTCTCTCAGAGGCACAGCTTGGGTGTCTGGCGAACAAGAGAGAAGCTATATATGAAGTTATGGAGCGGATGAAAGTGGCTATCCAGAATTACAGGCTTAAAATTACATTCAGAAATTATGCCCAAATTTTACTGTAGCCAGTTAAACATTTTTTCTCCCACTGTGGAGCTGAAGTTCAGTCTTCTCTAGCACAGTCTCATGAATAATGTTAATGAAGATCAGGCCAATGTCTAAGCATGCCCAGTGTCTCCTAAGATCTTAGGGCCCAGTTGTATTATTATGCATTATTCCTGTACACATTCTCAACCTTCTAAACTAAGTCTGGTTAGAAAAGCTTAGGGGCTATTTTAGGCTCCAACAGGCAGACAGAAAATTTGCCATGTTAAAGTAGACAATAAGGACTCTTTGTCTGAGTAAAACTGAGAATTCCCATGATCAACGACTTGATGTAGGAGGAAGGGGAAAGCAAGGAAATTTTTAAGGAAAGATAGCCGTCTGAATGCAGGACTAAGTTTCAAATATTTGTGACTAGCATCAGTGCACTTAATAGAAATCATGCTAATATGCAAATGTTTTCAATTCAGCTACTATCTTTTCATATTTTATTTGTTTATTTAGTCATGGTGTTAACAGTAAAAATGTATTTTCAGCACAGTGCCTTCGGGGATATTAAAGAAAGTTCCTTTATTATTTCAGGCAGCTCCTGATAATAGCATATGTGTTTTATATAGAAGCAGCAGATCAGCAAAAGCATTCCCTCACAAGACATACAAATCCTGCATTTTGCATTTTGCACTCATGCAAATGGGCTAACAGAAAAAGAGGAAGAAAGACACAGGCCAGTAAGCTAGGAAAAATCCTACAGTCAAGCAACTCAAAGAGCCAAATACTCAAGCCTCTTAAATCAGGTCCTCCTAACTTGTCTTCTAGATCGCAGTATGTAACTCACACCAACTTATGCTCTCAGCTGTTTGGATATAAGTCTAGAAGCAAACTGAATACTTCAGCTTTGGATTTCACCCTGCATGCTGAACCCCATGTATCCTTCAAACGTGTCTCTGGCTGAGGGTTAAATTTTAGTTTGCATTTAAAAGCATATTTGGTGGTGAGTGAAAAACCCAGGGAGAAAAGAAACATTGCTATAACCACATGTTTTTAAAAACGTAGTCTATTTGAAACTGCCCTGAATGCCATAGAGGTAGATTAACCCAGCCAGTGAAGTAGATGAATATGCTACATGAAGCTGATTTGCTCATACACTTAAGATAATTCATTGTACAATGCTATCGATGTGTGTAAGAAAAATAAATGGTAGGGAATTTCTTCCAAGTCTATTACGTATATCCATGTGTAGTTGTATACGAGCAAAATGTGGATGAGCTCAGTGATCGCCAAGTTGGCAGCATGAGAAAGCTTCTTTGTTATGACTGTACTCAACTTAGGAACATTTTCTTCTGGATGAGGAAAGTCTCTGATGATGAATAATTTCTTGAAAGCTCATCAAGCTGTTTGTTATACATTTCAGTACTATTAAAGAAGACCAAGTTTTGTAAAAAGAAAATCACTCTATCTTACTATTATCTCTATCCTGCCAATATACAGGGTACACAGCTGACCCGAGTGGAGAAAAGCACTGAGTGTAAAATTTGTTGCAGAAACATATGCCTTGAGATAGCATTAGTCTCCTATTTGTCTGGCCTGAATCAACACTGCAATGAAAATAAACTGAAGTCTTTAGAGGCCACACATTCTCTGCTGTGTTGATGAAACTTTTAATTACAAAATGAGTGAAGCTGGTTAAAACCACGGTGATTGTGCTGCCCTAACACAATTACAGTCATTGCAGGAACATACCTTTCTGCTAGCTCTCTCCCTTTTCTCTCAGGCTCACTGCTCCAAAAACATGGAAGAACAGAATATTGAAACTCCAGAAAATGCAATTTGCATCACTGTTTTTGTGATGCCTTTGTTAATGGCCAAGATCAATAAACTGTTCAAGTGTGTTGGTATGCTTTGCTGGCTGCACACAAGTATGAAACAAACCCAGTTCCTGGTGTAGCCTTGTGAACTGGAGAAACTGAGTGTATTGGAAGAAATTCATATACACTCACAGGAAAAGTGAGGAGTTTATCTCTGCAAGCAACACTTAGAAATCTGCTAGCTGTTGAATGAGATCAGTACATTAAATGGATCACATTCATTTTCAGTGTGATTATGTCATCCTCAAAAATAGGTTGAACTCTACATGTCTTAAATTCCAGATCTTACACTTAGTCCTGTAATTTTTCTGCATGATTTTGTAACAGCAGTGTCCATCAGTGAACTCAGCTTCAAGTATGTGAAAACTGTGAGTCTTAAATTCATAATTCATGAAAATAAAACATTGCAGGAATGTGAAATAAATATATGTGAATAAAAATATCCCCTAAGAGGAGCTGCATGGATTTTAAGGGAGTTATACCAAAAATGCTTTTGGACAATTATTTGATACAAACAGTTATTAAATGCTAAGGTGACTCATATTTATACATGAGTTCTCATAGAAATGTCTGTTATATTGTATTTCTATGCTGCACAGCTGAGCAAAGAGGGATGACATGTAGTGTACTGTATTACATATTAACAAAGCAAGACATTGGCTGTGTTAGGCAAGGGGAAGGCAAAGCCACAATTATTTTTCAGTCAGCTAAATACATTTTTATGTTTCTGAAATAAGACAGCAGGACAAATCCTGAGAAGCCCAGGCACCTGATAAAATGTGATGCTGAGAATCTAATCCAATAACGATGGCCACATTTCTACAGGTATAACAGACAAGGGTCCCAACAAGACAAGGCTACACCAACAGTTGTAAATTAAGCAGTACCAGAAAACACATTGTTGTAGTCCCTACCTGTTCTCATAAACAGTTTCTAGGCATGGTGGGGAAAGATTGCTATCTCCACATTGCACTTGGTGGGCCCATATTCATCAGTATGTACTTTCCAAGGGATGTGTACTTCTTTCTTTAACTGCTCCCATAACTCTTTTTGTCACTGCAGCATATAGTTTGATGAAAAAAAGCCTTAATCTAAATAAAAGGATCTTCTTATGGGTTCCTCCCATGTACACTGTAGTCTTGTCTTGTGGATACACTTGGAAAAGTGAAGTTCTCTGAAACAGAGGAGAGAGAGTTGGCATTCATCAGTGCATCCAGCACTCCCACCCTCTTCCTCATGGCACATGTCAGCTTTCTTCAACAGGTTTTACAGAAGCCAAGGAGTGAAATATGCATGTTTTGATCCAACAGGAGCTGTGGCTGTGTCCACTTACCCCAGCAGCACTTGGCAGCCATGTGTGAGGAGCCGAGAGTGGACAGAAATGCTGCAGCCACTCCTGTGGTGAGCAGACAGTGCCTATTGCTATTGACATATGTTTCTGGGATGTGTCGATGCCCTGGGATTGCACTCCCCTCAGAGCCATTCAGGCTCCCAGGGGTTCTGCTTGTGCCACCCTCTGCTAGGGAGTCAGAAGACAGCAGAGGCAGGAGTAGCTGTCGAGGGCTTGGCTACCTTCAGCTAAGGACCTCAGCACCAGGATGAAACCACCTCCAATAGCAATATCTGATTACCTGCTTGCTCACACAAGTCACTCCAAGAAGTCAAAAGGCAGCACAATAAACACAGACAAGAATCAGACCAAATTGGACTGAGATCTCTCACAGCCTTAGTCATACCAGTAGTTCACAAAAGAGTTTCTTGCAACTCCAGCCTTGTACCATCAGTGTTTGCTTTTGTTTTTGCACCACCATATACATTGGCTGTGAATGGCTTTTTCTTCGTCCTTAAAACCAATCAGCACAAATTGACAGCATCTCAGTCACTTGCTGAAGTCCAAACAACCATTTAAATTACATGGCAAGGGCTTAGATACCTCTGCATCCCCAGCTGAGTTGTGCTATTCAGTCTTGGCACCTTCCCAAACACAGAAACACTAAATTCAGCTGAAAGGCCCCATCAGGCTGAAAAACAACCAAAACCACTACCCACTCCTGTCTGTATGGATTTGTCTTGCTGGCCTCCGCTGGTTTCTTTTCATGTTTAATCACAGCTGTAAAGACTATCTGTTTATCTAGCTAAGAACTTAAGTAATAGACTGGATGTGCTTAATGATGTGGGTGTGGATCTATTGCTCAGGACGCTCTCTGTCAGATAGACGTGTGGCTTTCAGCAAAGCCTATTGGGCCACTGGGTTTTTTACAACCCAGACTCCTGTTACACAACTAAACACACAGTTAGTGGCATCCAATGAAGGAAGCCAAGCTCAGCTCTTCCCCACACTAGCTCCTGGCTGCATGGGATCCCCTTTCACTCCAGTGTTACAGGGCAGCAGCTGGATCTCCTTAAGCTTTGCTGAAGGCTGCCTGTGGGAACAGCCTCTGAGCAGTGCTAGAGGGACCTCCAGGGAGCCCCAGGTTGGGGGGGACAGTCAGAAGCCACCTGGACCTGTCCTCAGGGTGCACTCAGTGAGCATCACAGCTGTGTGGTCAACCGCTGGCAAACCTCAGTGCGCTGTCCTCAGTGCGACGCTGCCAGTGAAGTAAAACCAGTCACATCAAGTAAAGTCCAGGAAAATCATGTAAGAATCAAATGTTGGGGTTTTATTCTCCTTTAAAAGTAATTCAAGGTTAAGCCTCCTCAGTGGCCTTTTTTTTCAGCCAGATATAATAGGCATTTCCTAAAATCACTTTGGTATTTTCCAAGAAATGATGTATTTACAGATATTTATGCCATCCATATATATATATACATATTTTTCATATTTGATAGACTGACAGCTACAAATAGTTGCATTTAATTAAGGTATCCCAAGCTCCTGGCTCTTCACATCTACACCTGTTTCACACTGATTATGTTCTGGATATCTTCACAAGCCTCAGTTGGGATTCTGCATGTCATAGTGCTCCTTCCCATGTTTCTCTGGTTCCACTGACAGTGCCTACACATTGAGGTTCATAGGACCGTTCTTCTTAGGGACACATGTAAATCCTGTTGATTGGTTTGGATTTTTTTTTTCAAAGTCCATGTTTCTGTTCCATCTGAAATTCATAACTGGTTTCAAATCTAAAATATCATTTGAATGTGCAGTTTATTTCTACTGAATTAACAGTTTGCCACATCTGAAGGCCCTTGTAACCTCTGTTAAATCATGGCTTACCTGAGACTGTTTTTCCAATGGTACTACACAGAAAAGAAGTACCCACTGCAGCTGGCAACTATATGTAGCTTGCTCTAGTATTTTTGTGGTGAATCTTGGGGCCAGCCCACCATGTAAATCCACACTCCTTTGTTGGTGCTGGTTTGTAGGAACCTGGTACCATTAATGTCTTTCCAAGTCCAGCAAAACAGCTCATCAGTGGGGAACCCACTGGCCCTGCTTTGCAAGTGAAAGGCTCATCATGAAGTCTTTCAATATCAGCAGGCTATTTAAAAATGGAATTTGTGGCACTCTGCAAGAGACTTCTGTAATTTCAATTAGGCTTTCTTTGGAATGGGCTATCTGAGAAAAGAACAGTTTTGGAAAATAAAGACTTTATCTACTTATTAGCAAGTCAATAAAAGCCATGAAGACTCCAAACTTCTGCTTTGGCTTTGTGTGCTTTAACATGCCAAACAACCTAGCTTCATTTGAAACTGGTTTCAAATTACTTGCAGATGGCTGGATGTAGATGAAAGACTGCATAAAGGTGTTCCTTATTCTATTCTCTACTCCCTAGACTATTGGGCTATGTGCTGACACTTGGATGCTTGTTTTACAATATCATTTGACATGTGGGATTTATGTGTCAAAATTTCATTTAAAGCCAAGAAAATGTCAACTAGCAAGTACAGAGAAGCAGCAAAAGACTGTGCTTTTCAAGACAGAAGTCAGCGAGTCAGACACTGCCAAGTCTTAACCCTGTACCAAGCACACACAGACAAGAATTTGACCCAAGTGCCAGCAAACTAAGATTCCTTTGGTGTGTTCTGCTGAGATTCCATTACTGCCTTTATCATTAAGAAAATAATGTAATAAAATGAAACCTTTTCCCTGAATGCATTAATAAAGATAACTTGTTGGTCAAGCTCCAAAACCACTGGAGCCACATTTAATTTACTGTTTTTATGGATTTAGGATTTGGTTTGCTGCTATGTTCCGTCCACTGCAACAATATAATGGGAAATTGTAATGGCATGTTTAAAAGAAAGGGTTCATAATCTATCACTGAAGCTTTAAAATGTCTTGTGCAGACATCCACAATTAAATGCTACCAAAAATGGCATTTCACATGAATTCACCACAGCTCACCAAAGGCAAAAAAGGGAAAGATCCAAATAATCATCAATACAGCTTTTTGTGCTAGTCACCTTAAAAAAGTTTGGAGAAGAGAACTGCTAAAACAACTTTTACGGGCTTGCAACACCACTATGCCTGTCCTCGTATTAACCGTGTCTGTGTGTTACTTCATAAAATATCAGATGGCATATCGCTTTATTTCCAGTCAATAAAAATAATAATGAGTTGTGTGAAGGTCTTTCTGATACTTCAGTTGCTCAGAAAGGTGATGATCTTTTGTCTGCGCCTAGTTCAGGTGGTGGAGACTTTGCCATGACCAACACATAAGGCACTGAAAAAAACAGAGCACCTGTGGAGCACAGGACCACAGGCCTATCGCATCATTACAGGGATAAAGGTGATGTGAAAGCCTTGTATCTATCAATCTCCGCATGAGAGCCCTGCTTAAAGGGCTGACTCTGCAGCCCCTGCGTTGAGCAGAAACTGCTCCAACAGCTGCAGTCACTTGGGCTTGCTGTTGCCTTGTGATGCAGGAAAAATAGGAAATTGGGTATTGGCTTATTTGAAATGTCCCTTACCTGTAAAGGAGATCATTCTTCAGAGTAATGCATTAAGGCAAAATGCCAGTCTGAAGGGTTAGACATAAATTGGCACAGCTTCAGCTCACAGGCAAAAGATGGGTTCAAGCTATCCTCCAAATGCCACTTGTGTTTCTCCCCCATCCTCCCCAGGCACCCTGAGCCTCTTCCTTGTGCTTGAGCTTTAGAAGATAACAACAGTAGCTTGTTCTCTGAACTGCTGAGCAGTATCCCATGATACCATGATGTGATCCAGCCCCGGCTGAAAACAAACCAAAGCTCCTGACAGAAAGTGAACATGAATCCCACCTGATTCCTTTGGATTTGTTTTAAGATTGTGGGTTTTGTTAAAGAATGTCTGACAAACCCTTTCAAACGTGCCCATCTCTTCGCTTTTGGGCAAGGAAGGAAGGAATTTGTCATTTTAATTTTACCATCAGGATTGATTAAATGCTTTGTAAGTTGTGCTGGATAAAGGCATTCTTCAACCCAGGTGAAACCTTATTTAGAAAATGCATCTTGTACAGAGACTTGCTCTAGCTGCAGAATTAAACAAACACGGTTTTTATTTGTGTTGAGGAGTTTCCATTTGTGCAGCTTTTGCCAGAAGACTGAAGAGGCCTGTGATGTGTAATTTACTGCTCAGTGATTTTAAAGATGAATATTTGGATTCTCATTGATATTTGATTTTTATTGCTCATTTTGTTACGGGGAGGTTTCCACATGCTGCTTTACATAAACTTGGTCTGGTTTCTTGTTCTGTCCTCAGGATACAGCATGTCTTTCTTCACTAAGAGTTTAGAAACATGCTCTGAGTTTGGGTTTTAATTATCTATTAACTCCTTGCTGAAGGTAAATTCTTTATTGTTGGGATTTCTGTCAGTGGTCTTAGGACTCCTTACCCTTGCAGACCTGGTGAACAAGGCTCCCCACAGCAGCTGCAGCAGCAACTGGGCATGGGGAATTCTGCCCATATCCACACTACTGCATGTCCTAAATGCTGAAGCCTGCAGTTTTGCCAGCATGGGCCCACCATGACCAGTGAGCAATTGGTGAGACCCCAAACAGCCCAATCACACCAGTGCCCTTTCTTCCAGCTCAGCTTTGTCACTGTGTGGATGCTGTGAAATCCACCCCAACCAAAGTGTCTTTTAGGAAGCTCTAATGGGTGAAAGTCCACAAAAAGTCCTGAGAGACCTGAAGTAGGGCTCAGATCAAGTGTAGAAGGTTAAATCCAAACCACGAATCCTGACAGCATGGAGCTGACCTACCGAGAAGCACTGGGACCTGGATGCCTCATTGACAAAGGCCTTCTGCCCACACTAGATGCCCCATTGACATGGTCCTTCTGCCCACACCAGAAGCTGCCCCAAGCCTTGGGGCTTAAGCCAGGTCAAGGCCCACTAACAAGATCCCCTTATAGGGTTGTTCCAGTAGGTGTCCAAGGGCATGCCTAATAGATGGTGTCAGAATTTTCAGAAAATGCAGGATTTTCAGAAAATACAGCAGCAGTGCTCATGACATTGGAGGACGGAGAGAGGGTGGACAGAGGGAGGCGATACCCCTTTTAGACAAAAGCCAAGTGGCTGTAACGCTCTAATGAATAAGCAAATCCACTTCATTTCCTCCTCCCCATGGACGGTTTACGGCTCACCAGGTTCCCCTGACTGTGTTTCACATAGGTGCCTAATCAAACAAACCGTTCATGAAATAAGAGCTGACTGAGCAATATTTCAAATCCTGAAACTCTACGTACAATAGAAGCTGTTTTAAAATTACTTGCCAAATTAGCTCAAGCAAGCCAGAAGCACTAACTCATAGCCAAAGCACTCAGTGCAAGTTTGAAAGTTGAAATAAAACTTTCAAGGGCTCTTGAAAGAACAGGAGATGAGGGAAATGGCATTCACATTTATTACAGAAATGTAATTCATAATCCCAGCAGTGGGAATGCTAATGCCTTTTGATTGATTACTGTGGTTTCTTTGTGAAAGCAAAAGATCTCAGGACCTGAGGACACTACAAAGAGCAAATGAATGCCCTGTAATCATGGCTATGATGCAGGAAAGCAGTTAGGCATATACCGAAACTAAAGTACCTGCTTAAGTGCTTTGCTGCATAAGGTTGTGTTTACGTCAATGAGTTTTTTCCTGCAATAACCTGTGTCTTGCCTTGTTCTTGCATTCTGTTTCTGCTTCAT